TGGCAGACAATTACGGACAGCCTTGTAAGTATTATATTCTATGGATGGTATCTAGTATACAACACCTCACTCAGTGGCAGACAATTACGGACAGCTCTGTAAGTATTATATTCTATGAATGATTTCTAGTATACAACACCTCACTCAGTGGCAGACAATTATGGACAGCCCTGTAAGGATTAGATTCTATGTAAGATATCTAGTATACAACACCTCACTCAGTGGCAGACAATTATGGACAGCCCTGTAAGTATTATATTCTATGTATGATATCTAGTATACAACACCTTACTCAGTGGCAGACAATTACGGACAGCCTTGTAAGTTTTATATTCTATGTATGATTTCTAGTATACAACACCTCACACAGTGGCAGACAATTACGCTCAGCCTTGTAAGTATAATAGTCTTTGTATTATTTCTAGTATATAACACCTTACTCAGTGGCAGACAATTACGGACAGCTCTGTAAGTATTATATTCTATGTATGATTTCTAGTATACAACACCTCACACAGTGGCAGACAATTACGCTCAGCCTTGTAAGTATAATAGTCTTTGTATTATTTCTAGTATATAACACCTTACTCAGTGGCAGACAATTACGGACAGCTCTGTAAGCATTATATTCTATGTATGATTTCTAGTATACAACACCTCACACAGTGGCAGACAATTACGCTCAGCCTTGTAAGTATAATAGTCTTTGTATTATTTCTAGTATATAACACCTTACTCAGTGGCAGACAATTACGGACAGCTCTGTAAGTATTTTATTCTATGTATGATTTCTAGTATACAACACCTCACTCAGTGGCAGACAATTAACGACAGCCCTGTAAGTCTTATATTCTATGTATGATATCTAGTATACAACACCTCACTCAGTGGCAGACAATTACGGACAGCTCTGTAAGTATTTTATTCTATGTATGATTTCTAGTATACAACACCTCACTCAGTGGCAGACAATTACGGACAGTTCTGTAAGGATTTTATTCTATGTATGATTTCAAGTATACAACACCTCGCTCAATGGCAGACAATTACGGACAGCTCTGTAAGTCTTTTATTCTATGTATGATTTCAAGTATACAACACCTCGCTCAATGGCAGACAATTACGGACCGCTCTGTAAGTATTTTATTCTATGTATGATTTCAAGTATACAACACCTCGCTCAATGGCAGACAATTACGGACAGCTCTGTAAGTATTTTATTCTATGTATGATTTCAAGTATACAACACCTCACTCAGTGGCAGACAATAACGGACAGCCCTGTAAGTATTATATTCTATGTATGATATCTAGTATTCAACACCTCACTGAGTGGTAGACAATTATGGACAGCCCTGTAAGTAGTATATTCTATGTATATGATATCTAGTATCCAACACCTCATTCAGTGGCAGACAATTGTGATGTTGGTAAGTCAACACATCACACAGCATCAGATAAACATGTTTCTAGTGTACGACATACCACGTAGTAAGTTCCGATCATAAGTCTTACAAATAACAAAATACAATACGGTTTACGATGACATTATGTCTATGAAACAACAAATACCAATCGGTGAGTGATACAGTAACTAATGATATGTCTATTACATACAAACACAAATTCAATCATTTATCCTGTACACAAACATTGCATTGCAACCGATTATGATAACAAACAAAAGTCCCCCAGTGGGTGATACTTTACAACCATTACGCCAAGAGTTGAATAACACATCACTTTATAAGTTATAACTAATGAATTTCTAGTAAACAACAAAACACCAACCGGTGCGTGATTACCATATGTTGATTGCACAGCCTCAACCCAACCAGCAATGACCATATATAATGGTTACCAACGCCACATCAACCAGCAATGACCTTGAAGCTAGTACACAAAACCACACCAAACGGGTATGAAGATATATCTGGTAAACAACACAACACCAACCAGCAATGACCATATCTCTAGTATATATCACCACACCAACCAGTAATGACCATACCTCTAGTTCATAACGCCACTCAAACCAGTAATGACCATATCTCTAGTACACAACACCACACAAACCAGAACTGCCCATATCTCTAGTATACAACACTATACCAACCAGTACTGACCATATCTCTAGTAGATATTACCACACGAAATTGTTATGACCATATCTCTAGTATACAACACAACACCAACTTGGAATGACCATATATCTAGTACATAATGCCAGTCCAACCAGTTATGATCATATATCTAGTATACATCACCACACTAACCAGTAATGACCATATCTCTAGTATACATGTACATCACCACACTAACCAGTAATGACCATATCTCTTGTACACGACACCACACCATCCAGTTATTAATACATATCAATGCAACATTCAGTGTGTTAAGTTGATAATGTGCCTCAAATTGAGTAAATCTTTCCGGACTTTATAACCGTCTATATATTAAATATTTTGTCTTCACAGCATCCTCCTTCAGGATCGAACAACATGAGTAACCAGACCAACTGCAAAGTGTGTCTGGGTCTTGGAGAGGTCCGTTACAATGCACTATTTTCGGTATTGAGATGGACGTAAGTGTTTGTAATGCTTTAACTGTGTTTGCTTCACTTAAAATTATCAAAGCGTTAATGGATAACAGGAGTTATTATTAGCATTAGGAATGCATTAAAATGATCGGATATACCGAGTTGTGAGGTAGGAACTCAACACAGTAGTAGAACGTTTTGTTTACAACATTTAAGAATGCTATCAAAACTTAGCGAAACTACCAAACAGTTTCCAATAATGAATAGATATATTCACGTAAGTAATGATTGTTTAACAATAATTCACTAAATATTCTGAATGTCATTAGAACTGTCAATTATTTAACTAATGACGATATCTTCTATCAACAGGGCAGCCATCTTCAGTCTGCCCGCAGGCTTCATTATCGATAGAATAGGTAACAGCCGTAAGTAAATCAAGTACCTGTATATTGTGAAAAGTTTACTCGGTTTAAATTATAAAATGTATGAGATTGTTTCCAAAAGTAACAGATTGGGCTCGGAAACCAAAATATATTTACTTCCATATATGTGTATTAACCTACATGTACATGTCTTTGTTATATCAAATTAAGCACATTGAAACATATATATCTGAGACCTAATTTTGCATTGATAGTAAAGCTTTATTCAGATGTAATTGTTTGGAGTATCTCTGTTTATACGTGCAGCCATTGTCAAAGCTTCAGCAAGGGGCAATAGCTAAATATTACCGTGTTTTTAGCATCAATTCTAAAGAAATTTGAGTAAATAACTTAACATTAACATATAACTATCATGTCTAAACATGACGTTTCAGTTTCGTAATCATCTCGTCAAGTTAATAAGACAAACTAAAGGAGCAAACATAAGACAATGGCAAATAATTGAGAGTTCGAACAATACTTCCTGGAAAGTACTTGTCGAGGTATATCCATTGCTATGCTTTACTTCTCTGGGCTTGATTATTCTAGGTTCTGCAATTCTTCTGAGCCTAATGCCGTTGCTTGGGTCAGTCCTTTTCGCAATTGGAGCTATGCCACATGGTCCGACTACTCTATCCATGTACCTATTGATGGTTGCTGGGCGGGGCATACTGGCCGTTGGGGATGGGACACTTAGAGGTAGATGTTTATACCTAGTGTGCGCAAAATATATATTTGAATTGTTTGCTAAATTCTGATGAAATATCTTATCTAAAATTACCATTAAAGGCATTTTTGACAACAACATGTACATTTACTTGTATCAATTAAAAGTTTAAAATGAATACAATGACACGAAGACACAGAACATAACTCATTAAAATTAGTTTGGCTCATGCCGCTTATAATAATGTTATAACGTGTATTCGACATCAAATACACCATTTTAAGGCATATACATTTCTGTTTTTAAATACATGCGACCCTTTCTTTAGTACTTCAGGCCAGAGTGGTTGCCCATTGTTTCCCAGGAGCAACTCTTGTACCCGTGGCGTTTGGTACAGTCGGACTTGTGGGACAAAGTTTAGGTTATTGTGTAACACCTATCATAGCGGCAGCAGTTGGGTTACGCGTCTCTATATGGTTAGGTAGGAACTAAAAAAACTTAAGTATATAATTGCTAAATCGTAATGACTAGATCTTGCATGCCATTATCCCTGTGATATATTTGATTTTATATATGTCTTAAAGATTTCCCTCATGGTTGTCATTGATTGGGTGCCCATGAAATAAATTGGTATTTTTTTGACGGTATTCATGTAATGATGCAATAACTGAAGGTCTCACGAGAGAATACATTAGGCAATTCATAATGTTTTGTAGCAACGCTCACATTCCAGAAGCATGTGCGTTTTCACTCTCGAATTTGCTGGGGGTTTGTGATGTCGTATTTCATTGAAGGACATGCTTGACATTTTTATATAGGTACAGTTGCCTGTGGATTTAGTTTTATGTGCGCAGTTGGTCTCGTACTGCTTCTTCAAGAGCAGAAACCCTTGGAAGCAGATGATTATGAAAAAAACACAATTCCAGTGAGTTGCATTTTTAACACAATCGCTTGACGCTATTCTATAATAAAGAAATAAGCTGATGGTTTTCTTGTTTGGGTAATTGAAATATCAAAAATCAAAAAAAATCATTTTGTGTTTTAGACACTTAAAGACATACATACCCTGCCGACGATTTTTTGGCTGTTTATATTGACAATGGCGTGTATCCAGGTTCCTTGGATCTGCAAACAAACCAATTTACCGTAAGTATCCGTATTTTTCGCTAAAATGATTTTCTCTTTCAATTTTTGTATCTCTAGAATCTCATACAATAAAATCATGAGCGGAGCTACCGTCATTAAGTTTTATTCTATTGTTGTAGAGACTTTTTAGAGTTACGGTATGGCATGACAGTAACAGAGGCAGGCTACATTGCCGGCGTCCCTTCTTTCGTTATGTTGTCAACTCCTGTCGTATCTATATTTCTGGTAAGTGCTTCTGGCTCCATCCTTGTACATGTTTCTAAGAAACCAGGATGCAACAAAGATCACTAAAACATCCTTGTTCTACTGTCGCTTCAATATATGGCTTTGCAATTGAACACTGAATGACATGTGTACATACTGGCAAACAGTAGAAATAATACATAGTTATATTATAAGAATTTGTTTAACAGAAGTATATCGACTGCCATGGAGTTGTTCTCACGGCAGCCTTGATATGGATGACGTCTCTTTATGTTTTATTGGGATTCTGTCCAGCCATCCCCCCCATAATCCTTGCCATAGCAGATGGAATAGGTTACACTATATATTCGGTAAGTTTGTATATCGGTGTATTGTGTCGGTGGGGGTGTTAAAATTAGGGATGCTTTTCTGTCATGTTACTGAGTGACATTAAGTATAATGCATTACTCTGTTGAATACTTTAGATGATAATGTGGCAGCTCCTAGTCGTTATCAGTCCCGCAGCCTTTGTTGGGACTCTTGGTGGTATTTTCTATTTAGTGAGACACCTAACAACAGCGCTCATCTTACTTGCCGCTGGATATATACTGCAGAAACCTGAACAGTACGTATTATTAACGTTATCAGATCGAATCTGTCCATATAAAAAGAACAGATGTTCGTGATTTATCAACAACTCAACAATATGATAAAAATGTAAATATCAACAAATACTTATTCAATTTCGGATATCATAAGGGCAAAACTAATATTTTGGATTTCTCGATTCAGTCACTTTACAAATAAGTAGTTCGTACGGTGAAGTAAAACTAACTGTATGCTCAACGTTTGATCACGTATGTCATACTGTTGTACATGTACGATTTTTTTTTTAACACGATTACCTATTTATCCTTCTTATAGGACTGATGTGAAAGGCGCTCTGAACTCTTACAAGCATTTCTTCTTGATGTTGATATTGATGGCGTCCTCCAGCGTGGTCTTGGTTGTGATGATGAATGTTCTGGATTTCCGAGTGGTACGTTTGCATATGTCATCATGAAATATTGGATTCTGAAGTTAACAAATACTGTTTCTTATCTAAGTAAGATATACATTATATCTATTTCAATTTAAATCTTAAATAGTGTTTTGATGGTTTGTATTCTTTTAGGCCTGTGCTTTCAACTCAAGGATAGGCAGGTGGAGGAAATCCAATATGGAATCAACAGAACTATTGTCTGGGATTCAGTTACCGACCACGTATACAGAAACAATGGACCACACCTCAAACTGACCATAAGAAGAAGAGATGTTAGCTGAACTATTTTAATTAACTTGTTTAAAAATTGTTGTACAATAAATAAAGTGTATGCATAAAGATATACCGGTCAGTGTTGTATTGCATGCGCCACTATCTGCATAGATAGACAGGGAATTTGAAATCTTTTTTGTATTACCTGTAACATTATCTATGTGGACAAGAATATACACGTTATTGTTGTATTATATGTGATACAGTATGTGTTGATAGGCATGGATATACAGGTTATGGTTATGTTACATTTCACATAGTCGGTCTTGATTGACACTGATATATAAAGGTTACCCAAAAAGTGGTGATTTGTTATCATGTTTATCTAAGTGAGTTAATTTTCCAATTATATATTTTCCAATTTGAATATCAACTAACGAGAATTAGATTAATATGAATACCAACTATCATGAGATTTGGGACCTTTTTCTTCCACAAATTTCAGATATTATATCTAGAAAACCAGATGTTTCTATTAGGAATACATTATTCCTTTTTCTGATCGGGGAACAATAAGCATGAACTATGAATTCAAAATGAAAGTAGACCTCGCAAAACATTGTAACTTAACGTCATACTGATATATCGACCAATACAATAAATTCAAGAATGTTATCAACTTTTGTTTAGTAACTCCTAGTAGGTTTATTCAATGAGTCGGGAGTGAGGAAACGTATATTGGTTAATTAAGAAATACACGTTATTTAGGAAATAACCCTGTTGTATTTTTGAGATTTGCGGTGGTATATCGTGATTATACTGGTGCCAATTGGGCTTTCCTCGCGACGCGGAATGGAGCCAGTAAAAAGGATATTTGTGACCGTTAAAACATGGATATTGATCGGGATAAAGCACGTGTCTGCAGTTCTTTATGTTTCTCCACTTGACAGCAAGCAACGTTACCAGACTATACCATGAAAATGTCCACCTTAGGATTATACCGTTTGTGACGTCGCTTAATTATAACCCTTTGGTTAGATTGCTGTAGTAACGCTATTATTCCTGTCTTATGCAGTTAACAGTTCGACATGTTTCTTTTGTGTGGTTTTCTTTTGTTCATTTGGATTCTTTTTAAGTCTGAAAACTATGAAAATAAACAAGCTACAAACAATGCTGCAAGTAAAGTAAGGATTCCACTGATATTTTTTGACATTGGCAAGCAGCCTATTGTTTTAAAGGATAACTATTTGAACAACAATCGAAATGTTATGCAGTCAATAGTGCTCTGATTCGTTTGGACCATTGAGTTATTATATGCATGGCATGTTGTTTTATTAATATTAATTGGAAAACCCGTATATTCAGTTCCTTATAGAGTCCATCTGCGCTTGACTTAAAACCAAATCAAACCAGAGTTTCTGACATCATTTTCCATGAGCTCATCATACTATAGGAGAAGTATAGGTACATGTAGTAAGTGCCTGAATTCAGCGGCTGCAAAGTCCTCATACAGCACTGCTTGTATTAAATGATTTTGCATCCATAGTAAATATATTGTAAAGAAAGCTTAGGTTAGCGCATTCTAACGAGATGTGATAATGATAGTACTACTAGTTAAAATATAAAACGTATTGGTTGATGTTAAGTACATAGGAATATAAAATAATGACCCGGAATCTAATTTAATGAAAGATGATTAATAATCTTTTTTTAAACACCTTACCTATTTTGATATTGGCCTTTATATTTTGAGACAATAAGACTATCACTGCTGAAAGATGTAAAGTAAGCCGATTATAATTTTGTAAAACTTTGGATTTGAATTTATATAAAAAGAAAAGTTGCATTATTTTCTCTATCAATAAATACAATTACATATTGAACCAAAATACGTGTGTAAAACTCCCAAGCGTAAATAAACCATTATAGTGGAACTTTTGTNCCTCCCACTGTATGTAACGTCGTTACTTCTACCGCTCATTCCAAGAGACCATCATACCTACATTACCTCAAACCTTAATATGGAATGCAAAAAGCATGACTGTATGAGTTTTTGTTTTTGTTTCAAGTGAATAAACCATATTTGCAATGACTGTACGACACCGTAATAGGCATCAAACCATGGTAATATCCACCCAATCATTATATACATATATTTAAGAGGAGGAGTGGTGGGGTCGTCGTTCTCTCGGCAGTGGTTTACTCACAGGATGATTAAGCTATACGTGGTGGTCTGAAAGCACTGCATAATCCACACACATGATTACCATGTTGTTTAAAATGATGATTCTGATATATACTGATGAAGTAGTGAATTTTGTTTTAAAACTCCCAAGTGTAAATAAACCATTATAGTGGAACTTTAATTGATTTTTTATTTTAGATCCACGATCAAAAATGCAATAATAAGGCGTAAAGGGTTATATCTGAGAAAAGCACAATCACTGAATTATAATGAAGAAAAACGATTATCTTCGAGAAATGTCAATGCTTTGCAGCGAATAACTACTTAAATAGAATGTCACTTTTAAGTGTTTGTTTTACTTCCTTACAGTGATTTTTTATATGGATAAAGTGCTGCTTTAAGTCAAACACCAGTTCCTGGGGAGAGAGGCTACATGTTTATGTTTGTACTCCATCCGTCCGTCCTTCCGTCCGACCTTTTGTTCTTCCGTTCATCCTTTTGTTCTACACAGGTGTACGTGGTGTGTATTACTGGTGAGCGTTTATAGCTCCAAATGTAATCCTGCCTTTGTTGCTTATCTCTAAATATGATAGTACACATATTGCGACTAAGATGGCCGACAGTGACGGTCACACGACAGATCTGCTCCCAAGTAATCAAGCAAATGTACTAAATTCTGACCAAAGTTCCTATACTGAGCGGAACGAAGTCAACATGTGTAGTCAACACAGTGACCAAGAAGGTTTAGAAGGGAATTCTGCCCCTGAATGTGGAATTAGAAGTGGATCCCGGAATTATGACAATTCCGGTCAAGGTACTGTGAACGGTACTCCCCATATAGATGACTTTCACACACTATCCCAGCCCATCAGTCCGGTACCTAACCAGCAATTTATTGAAAAGCTTGATAATGAACTGTTCCACCTTTCTAAAGATGACTATATATCCAAAATGTTGGAAATAGCGGGACAAAACGAAAGTTTAACGACTTGGTATCGCCAAACATTATTACAAAGAGCGGAAACAATTTCATCGTTACCAAAAGGGAAACTGGCCCTCAGAAAAACAACGAATAAAAGTTCAAGTTCTTTCAAATATGCAAAAGACTGTTTTATCATCCAGTCCTTTATTTATGGTGATAATTCGGAGATCGACGAAGTATTTAGTAAAGGTCGTCATGAGGCCCCAGAAGGAAACCAGAGTCAAAAGGAAATTGTTTTGGGGACCCCCCTTCAACAAACGTTAACCAAAAGTGTACAAGATAATCAGCCACGTAACTCGGACAATGTACAAGAAATGTCATCTAATAACATGACAATTGTTCCGCTAACGTGTTCTGTGCACTTGGTAGTGGAACGTCTCCAAGAAGTAGAAAAGACTCTTACAGACAGAGTGTTAGCCGAGAAACGTATGATAAATGATCTCGAACACATTTAAGCGGACAACACCCGTCGGTGTGGTATCATATCAGAGTTACAACGAACAGTCATCGGTGCAACAAAATCAGTCGGTATTCGAACATACGCGAATGTAACTGATCCGACATTGTCACCCCGAATACCCCAGGACTCCCCCGTAAACACCCCCAGGACCGTGAGTGATAATCCGCAGAACATCGATATCGATATACCTGCCGTCCAGAATGTTAGCGTGCCAAATCAAACGGAGCAAACGCACGGGTCACCTATTGAACTGAACTATAGTACACGGCGTACGAGTAACAGTACTAGGGACAGTAACGATGACAAGCGTAATCCCAAAAATAACGAGACGTCGCCTAAAATAACGGAAACTCGTATCACCAAGAGTAAATCCATATTTTATTGGAGTAAAGCGACGTAGGACGTCCAGATACTACATCAGTGGTATATCAAAGGAATCCACACGTAGAAGAATTGCGAACTTTATTCAAAATGAAGGTATTAAAGTGACAAACTTTATTCTCTTAGAAAAAAGAGGAGATACGTATTTTGCCAAAATAAATGTACAAGAGATGAATTCCGAGTCTCTACTCGTACCAGATTTTTGGCCCGATGACGTGGTTTGTCGTTCATCGGTGAACCGTAATGAATGGAAACAGCAATGTGAATAACAAAATAAAAAGCATTGATCTGAAAACAGAAACATCGCAATAGATCAACGCAGTTCAGGATTCGATACACGTTCTTACCGAAAACCGGCGTCACGTCGTCCTGATTACAGACAAGAAGACGATAACGAGTACCGTTCTTACAACGACAGCGCGGCGGACGACTGGGAGGATAATAATTCAGACAACTACGACCAATATAATTGAAATAGAGATTCCAGAGATTATTGGTCCAACGATCAATAAAAATCCAAAGAAGTAAAACCGCTTATACCAACAATGTGTAACATTACATTTTATTTCGTGTGTTTCTGCTCACCATGAACCTGACGCTTTTGACTTGGAATGCTAGAGGAATTTCCTCATCAGCAGCATGTATTGCACATCATCTGTTGTCTATGCCAGAATATCAAAGTGACATTGTCATTCTTACCGAGGCAAATATCTGTGCGACTAATGTAGATATTTTAGATAAAATTCACAATCGATACTACGGAATCCCGAGAACGAGAAATGACGTAAGCCTTGAATTATTACGTCACAAAGTTGTAGCTTTGATAAAGAAAAAAACCTATTCTATAGCGTTTCTATCATGCATAATGTCAGCAATGATAGACTAATCGCAATAAAGATACATATTTATAATACTGAAATGATCATCATATTAGGCGTGTGTATGCCACGTGACAGTAATTTACAGGATTACGATCTATTACTTCAACAACTGCGCGACGCATATGTTTATTATTTGCTGTCAGGTGAAGTGATTCTCTGTGGCGACTTTAATTCAAGGATTAATGAAAACCCTCAGTACCCTGTGTCAAAACACAAATCTACAGCACTTAAGAAGGTAA